AGCAACTACAGTAATCCACATACACCCCCAGCAACTAGAGCAATCCACATACACCCCCAGCAACTAGAACAATCCACATACACCCCCAGCAACTACGGCAATCCACATACACCCCCAGCAACTACAGCAATCCACATACACCTCCAGCAACTACAGCAATCCACATACACCCCCAGCAACATGGCAATCCACATACACCCCCAGCAACTAGAGCAATCTACATACACCCCCAGCAACTATGGCAATCCACATACACCCCCAGCAACCACAGCAATCTACATACACCCCCAGCAACTAGAACAATCCATATACACCCCCAGCAACTAGAACAATCCACATACACTCAGAGGATCAACTATTCTTCCAAGTAGAAATCATTACCCACGTTTTTCAAAGGAGGAAACTGAGACTCAGAGAGAGCAAGGGAGTTCTTTAAAAAACACACAGTTTTTGGCGGGGCACCGTGGCCCACGCCTGTAATCCCAGCAATTTGGGAGGCTGAGGCAGGCGGATCACTGGAGGCCAGGAGTACGAGACCACCCTGGCCAATATAGGAAACCTCATCTCTACTAAAAAAGAAAAATGCACACAGAGAAATGTAGCTGGGTGTGGTAGGGCACGCTTATAATCCTGGCTGCATGGGAGGCTAAGGCAGGAGGATCACTTGATCCTGGGAGGTGGAAGTTGCCGTGAGATTGTGCCACTGCACTCCAGCCTGGGCAACAGAGCCAGACGCTGTCTCAAAACAACCAACCAACCAGAACAACACAAAACACGGTGGAGGGCAGAGGTAAGATTTGATTCAGGCCTACCAGCCTCCCCAGCCTGGGCTACCCCAGGCCCGTGCCCCACCCCCAGCTGAACCCTGCCACCTCGGACCCCACGGCCTGGTACCTTTCTGACGATGGGTGACCAGAAGGACGCGGCCATAGCGGCCCTGGCCCAGGGGACGCACTTCCTCGTAGAGCTCGTCCACCTCGGCTCGGACCAGGGTCTGAGCGCTCAGCGCCATCATGTCCTCCAGCGCCCGGGCAGCCTCCTGGCCCTGCTGGAGCTCCTCTAACGTCAGGCCGCCCAGACCCTCCTCCTCGCTGTCCTCCGAAGCCCCTGCCTCCACCAGCCCTTCCTCAGACTGTTTGCCGGGCATCTCTGCAAGGACAGAGAGGGGCGCCCAGGCTCAGGTCCCAAGCCCAAGGGAGGAGGGGACTGGGGGTCTGGACTCCTGGGTCTGAGGGAGGAGGGGCTGGGAACTCATTGCACTTCTAATTGTGACTCAGTCTCCCTCTTGGTGAGAGGCGGGGAGATCAGTCTCTGGTGTGAGTTCAAACCCTAGGTCACAGATGTCCCTGCCCCCACATCCCTGCGTGCCGCAGCCGCCACCCGCCACCCTGACGTTGAAAGATGAACCAGATAACTGAGACTCCCCCACTGAGACTCCCCCATCTTGTTTCCAAAGCAAACAGACTTGGGCCCTGGGGGTGGATGAGTAGCCTCTGTCTCCTGAGAACAAACAGGTGCTCTTGGGCTCAGGGCTGGGAGGGCGGGCTGTGCAGAGGGCCTGGGACGGCTGGGTCCTGCATGGGACCAAGCACTCGGGATCAGTCCCCAAGCTCCTGACAGGCCTGGGGTCGCACTTTCACAGCCCAGCCACCTCCCTCAGACCCAGACCCGCAGCCCTTCCTCCGCCAGACCCGGGGGTCCAGGCCCCCAGCCCACCTCTCTCCCGGAGCCTCATATAATTCACACAACTGGGAACCCCCAGATTCTGTTTCCCTCACCCTCCACCACTCTGCAGCCTCCAGGTGCAGCCCGGCCTCCCCTGAGGGACTAAGGACTCGGGCCACCTGGCACAGTCACCCTCAGGTGCTGCCCACCTCAGGCCAGGGCACCTTGCTCACCTCCCAACCTGGGCACAGACCTCCAGACCTCACCTCCTCCAAGGCCCGCCTGACCTTTCGGCCGCCGGCTGTGGTCAGTGCCTGGCACTTAGGGCCCATGCCAGCAGACGCCTGCCCAGGACCAAGACCCCGCCCCGACTTTGGGGGTCGTAAGGCCCCGCCCCTGGGCCCGCCCCTTCTGTCCCCACTGGGAGCAGAGCGACATCGTGTGATGACTCCTGGAACTGGCTGTGGTCAGGTGAATACCCTGACCCAGGAGCTCAGCCCTCCTCCCTCAGACCCAGGAGTCCAGACCCAGCTCCTCCTCCCTCAGACCCAGGAGTCCAGACACCAGCTCCTCCTCCCTCAGACCCAGGAGTCCAGGCCCCAGCCCCTCCTCCCTCAGACCCAGGAGTCCAGACCCCCAGCCCCTCCTCCCTCAGACCCAGGAGTCCAGACCCCAGCCCCTCCTCCCTCAGACCCAGGAGTCCAGACCCCAGCTCCTCCGAACTGGCTGTGGTCAGGTGAATACCCTGACCCAGGAGCTCAGCCCTCCTCCCTCAGACCCAGGAGTCCAGACCCAGCTCCTCCTCCCTCAGACCTAGGAGTCCAGGCCCCAGTCCCTCCTCCCTCAGACCCAGGAGTCCAGACCCCAGTCCCTCCTCCCTCAGACCCAGGAGTCCAGGCCCCAGCCCCTCCTCCCTCAGACCCAGGAGTCCAGACCCCAGCCCCTCCTCCCTCAGACCCCGGAGTCCAGACCCCAGCCCCTCCTCCCTCAGACCCAGGAGTCCAGACCCCCAGCCCCTCCTCCCTCAGACCCAGGAGTCCAGACCCCAGTCCCTCCTCCCCTCAGACCCAGGAGTCCAGGCCCCCAGCCCCTCCTCCCTCAGACCCAGGAGTCCAGGCCCAGCCCCTCCTCCCTCAGACCCAGGAGTCCAGACCCCAGCCCCTCCTCCCTCAGACCCAGGAGTCCAGACCCCAGCCCCTCCTCCCTCAGACCCCGGAGTCCAGACCCCAGCCCCTCCTCCCTCAGACCCAGGAGTCCAGACCCCAGCCCCTCCTCCCTCAGACCCGGGAGTCCAGGCCCAGCCCCTCCTCCCTCAGACCCAGGAGTCCAGACCCCCAGCCCCTCCTCCCTCAGACCCGGGAGCCCAGGCCTTAGCTTCCCCCACCCATCTGCAGTTTTCAGGCACAGAACTGGGGCCTCCCCTACCCGCCTCAAGGCCCCTCTCTTCCCAGTTGCTCCACCACCTGCTTCCCGCCCCCCTAAGTCTGAGGTCATCCCACACTGCATCGTTCTGGAATCTCATTGTCTCATTCTTTCCCCAAACAAGACCCCAGCATCTGACCCCCTGCACACCCCTCTCCAAGCACTTGTGTCTGACCTGTCAATGGGGCATTGATGGGGCAGCTGGGTGGGGTCAAGGCGGGGGTGGGTTCCAGAGATGATTTCATTTTCTACACAGGACCCGGACTCCTGGGCCTGAAGGAGGAAGGTCTGGAGGGCTCCTGATTCCAAAGACAGGAATAACAATAAAAATCGTTTGAAAGCACACAGTAGGAATACAGGCCAGTGAGTGCCTCCCTGCTCCAAGCACAGGGAGATTAAGCCCCACTCCGAAGTCCCCAAGCCTTGGGCCACAGGGGGACTTCAGACCCCTGTTTTTTTCTGGGACGGTTGCACCCACCCTTCAGGGTTTTTTATTTCTTTTTTTTTTTTTTTCCTTTTTGAGACGGAATCTCGCTCTGTCGCCCAGGCTGGAGTGCAGTGGCGCGATCTCGGCTCACTGCAACCTCCAACTGTCTGGTTTGAGCGATTCTCTTGCCTCGGCCTCCCGAGTAGCTGGGATTACAGGCATTCGCCACCATGCCTGGCTCATTTTTGTATTTTTTAGTAGAGACGATTTCACCATGTTGGCCAGGCTGGTCTTGATCTCCTGACCTGGTGATCCACCCGCCTCAGCCTCCCAAAATGCTGGGATTACAGACGTGAGCCACCGCACCCAGCTTATTTTTATTTTTTTGAGACAGGGTCTTACTCTGTTGCTCAGGCTGGAGTGCAGTGGCCCGATCTCAGTTCACTGCAATCTCCACTTCCCGGGTTCAAGTGATTCTCATGCCTCGGTGTCCTGAGTAGCTGAGACTGCAGGCGCGTGCCACCACGCCTGGCTAATTTTTATATTTTTAGTAGAGATAGGGTTTTACTATGTTGGCCAGGCTGGCCTGGAACTCCTGACCTCAGGTGATCCACCCACCTCGGCCTCCCAAAGTGCTGGGATTTTAAGCCACCGCGCCCGGCCTACCCTTCAGGTTTGTACTGCCATGACTGATTTGAAGTCACTTAATTTTTTTAAATAAACTTTTTATTTTGGAATCATTTTAGATTTATAAAGTGGTTGCCAAGATCCTGCGGAGAGTTGCCATGCACCCTCCCCCACCCTCCCCCAGTGCCGGCGTCGCAACGCAAACCAAGAGACATTTGTCAAAACTACGAGGCTCACAGTTGGGCCAACACCAGACTGTTACTTCAGCAGCACTTCCACGATGGATCGAGCCCAGGATGCCGCGTTGTATGCAGTGAGCTCACTTCTCAGCCTAAAAGCATACCTTCCTGCATAGGAAACAGTTTCCAGTTCCTGACCCTCCGCTGGGTGCTGGGGTCTCGGATTTGGATCTAGTTCGTCCCCATCCTGCAGGCGTGAACCTCCACAAGTCAGGCTCCGTGTCCTATCTGGGAGGTGCCGTGGGACTGCGGGACGCGGGCTGGCCTTGGTGAGGAAGGAGACCCATCGGCACCAGACCTGGCTCTTAGGAGGCTCTCAGTGTGGGTCTGAGAAAGGTGGATGGAGCTGGGACAACCACAATCCGTGGTGCTCTGTGGGAGCAGAACTGGGAAGGATCTAAATATGGAGAAGACAAGGTCCAGCCTGGAGAGTCAGAAAGAGACACGGATTGTTCCAATACAAGTTCCCCTGGAGGCTAGAGAGGGCTGGGAGTGGGGCCGGTTTCTGGAGCCATGGGACGGGGGAAGATGCTCTCGGTAGAGGCCACACAGTGTGCCAATGTCTGCCAGCAGCTGTGCGTGCGTGTGTGCGCATGTGCGTGCATGTGGGCGTGCATGTGTGTGCGTGTGTGCGTGCATGCGTGTGCGTGCGTGCATGCGTGTGCGTGCATGTGTGCATGCGTGTGTGTGCATGTGTGCATGTGTGTGCTTGTGTGCGTGCATGTGCAAGTGTGCATGCGTGCGTGTGTGTGCGTGTGTGCTTGCATGTGCATGTGTGTGCATGCATGCGTGGATGTGTGTGTGTGTATATGTGTGTGTGTTCAGATGTGTAGATTTAGGTCCAGAACAGATGAGTGACTCCCATGACATCACCCAGAGCCCAGAGAAATGAGGGAGGCAGAGGGTGAGGTTTACACGGTGTTGGGTCCTAAAGTTCAGATCTTGGGACATGGACAGTGGGAGCCACCGAAGGTCTTAGAGGAGAGGAGTGATCCCATCAGAACTCCATGATGGCCGGGTGTGGTGGCTCATGCCTGTAATCCCAGCACTTTGGGAGGCTGAGGCGGGCAGATCATGAGGTCAGGAGATGGAGACCATCCTGGCTAACACGGTGAAACCCCGTCTCTACTAAAAATAGAAAAAATTAGCCGGGCGTGGTGGCGGGTGCCCGTAGTCCCAGCTACTTAGGAGGCCGAGGCAGGAGAATGGCATGAATCTAGAAGGCCGAGCTTCCAGTGAGCCGAGATCGCGCCACTGCACTCCAGCCTGGGCGACAGAGTGAGACTCCGTCTCAAAAAAAAAAAGGCATTCTGGACGGGGGGAAGAGGAAAGGTCCTTGAGGGAGGAAGGGCTGGGAGCCTGGAGCCCTGCGTCTGAGAGAGGAGGGGCAGGAGCTGGACTCTTGGGTCCTCAGTTGGAAGAGGAATGCGCGTCCAAGCCCAGCGTGCCGTAGGGAGAGTGCAATGTGTTCCCTCTCTGTCCTCCCGGGTGCAGCTGTCTCTCCATCCAGGTGGCCCTGGGGGCTGGGGGAAGGGCCTCTGGCCCAGGCTCTGGCCACCTGTCTCTGTCACCTGGTCAGGGAGCTCCCCCATCTGTCCCCGTCCTCCCGCCACTTTTGCCGTCATCGCCGTCATCTGTCCACTCCTCCAGGCTTGAGCCTCCCTCCTCCCCGTCCTCATAGGACACGCTCCCCAAAACCCCAGGGCCCTCTCTGTTCCCCTGCAACCCCCAGTTGTCCCCCAGGAAGTCCAGGACAGCCAGTGGGGGGCTCCTAGTCTCAGGATCCAGGTCCAGAAGCCCCTGGAGCAAGGCCATGGCTGGGGGTGCAAACTGGTCCCAGGGTGGTGGTGGCCGAGGTGGCTGGGGCTTGGTGGTCACCCAGCCAGCGAAGGCCTCAAACTCAGGGTTGGGGGCCAGTGCCACGTCCCAAGGAAAACAGGCAGTGGCAGCACAGAAGAGAAGCACCCCCAGGCCCCAGGAGTCCACGGCTGGCCGCAGAGGCAGAGTGTCGGGCGGTAGCAGGAGGCAGAGCTCAGGTGGTGCCGTGGGCAGAGGCCCTGGTGGGGCAGGGGTCGGGCTGCCCTCCGGCCGGGTCAGACCCAGGTCTCCCAGGGCCACACGGCTGCAGACCGGGTCGAAGACCAGCACGTTGTCCGGCTTGACATCTGCATGGACCAGCCCCCGGCTGTGGAGGAAATCCAGAGCTCCTGCCAGCTGGGCCACCACCCGTTTCACCAGCAGCTCGGGAAGGCCCTGAGGTCAAGAAGACAGGAGGAAGGTCAGAGTGCCTTGGTTTTGTCTATTTTATGTTGTCCAGGCTGTTCTCAAATTCCTGGCCTCAAGCGATCCTCCTGCCTTGGCCTCGCAAAGTGCTGGGATTACAGGCCTGAGGCACCACACCAGTTGGTTCCTTCTGAATAATTCTTGAAAGAGGCTGTAGACTCCTAAGTCCTAAAGGTTTGACTCTTGGGGTTTGAGAATCTAGAACCCCAGACTAGTGGCTACCTCCAGTGTTCCCACCACTTGCTCCCAAAGACTCTCTCCATCATCCTCAACCTCAACCTGCAGCCATATCTGCACTCCAATAGACCAACTCCCCGCTGGTCTCCCAGTTTTCCCCACTGGAATCCCAGTTATAACCAGTAGTTCCTTTGAGCTTCTTTCAAAGATTCTCCTAACTCAAATACTCAGGCATTTCTTACATATCTTTTATAATCTGATCATCCAGATCTTCTCCAGTGAGAACTCAAATTTCATTCTTAACCCTAATCTTAGTCTTACACGAGTCTAGACCCCATCTCTAACTCAGAGTCTGTTCTAAAATCCCCTGGTTTATTTCATCAGTTGATTATCTATCCATCTAGCCAGCCAGCTGGCCAGGCAGCAATCCATCCATGAAGCCACCCATCCTTCCAACAGTATTCAACAGTGTGTCCATCCAACATCCGTTCCACCAACCAGTCAGCAATCCAGTAAGTTATTCAATTATTTAATATACAACATCCATATATTCATCCTCCCTTGCTTCCTTTCACCCATCCATTCACTGTCCATCTATCATCCATCCACCAATCCTTCCATCCACCCACTCATCCATCCACTCATCCATCCATCCATTCACTCACCCATCCACTCATCCATCCATCCACTCACTCACCCACCAAACCTTTCATCCATCCACTCATCCATCCACCTACCCACCCATCCACCAATCCTTCCATCCACCCACCCACCCATCCACTCATCCATCCATCCACTCACCCACCAAACCTTTCATCCATCCATCCATCCACCCACCAATCCTTCCTTCCATCAATCCATCCATCCACCCACCAGTCCTTTCATCCATCCATCCATCCACCCACTCACCCATCCACTCACCCACCAATCCTTTCATCCATCCATCCATCCATCCACCCACCCATCCATCTACCAAAACTTCCTTCCATCCATCTATTCACCCATCCATCCATCCACTCACCCATCCTTCCACCCTTCTAATTCTCAATGAGACTCATTCATCCACATATACCTTCCTCATCCCTTTCCTTCTTTTGTTCCTTCCATTTATCCCCAACATTATCTCAAATCCAAAATCTATTCCTGAAACTATCCCTACCTCTAATCTCCAAACTCAAGAGGCCCTAGAATCTCATGGGTTCTGTCCTGACCTGGTCTCCTTTCTAGAAGAAACCCCATTACAGCCCATCTCCAACTCAGTCTGTGTATACATCCTCAACCATCTCTGTTTCCCTCTGCAACCCTATTCATGCTTTTCTCCATACTTATGATCAATCTATAATCAACTCTAAACTCAACCCACCCAACTCCACCCATGCCCATGAGTCCACTAACCCCAGAGTCAACTAAAATCCCAACCCTGTCTCCATCCCCACCCCCTTCATTGACCCTAGTCCATCCTCAATCCCACCCCCAGCTCCCTGCCCTTCCGTGGTTGTGTTTGGATGATTAGATGGATTAGGGTTGAGGTCAGGCATAGAAACTCGTTGAGAATTAGAAAGGGGGAGGTCATGTGGAGGCTCAGGGTGGAGATGGGTTGGGCGGGTCCTGATTTGGGGGTCAGAGTTGGAGATAGAGAGGAGGCTTGGGACAGAGTTGGACCTGGGAAAAGCGCTCCCAACCTTTGTCCCTCGTGGCCTCACCCTTTCCTGCAGCATCCCGCTGAGGTCCCCACAGGGCGCGTACTCCTGGGTGAAGGCAAAATAGCGGGGGGTCTGTAGGGGTCCTGCCAGGGTCTGCAGCAGGCCTGGGTGCGCAGAGACGCAGCGGCCCACACAGAACTCCCTCAGGAAGGTGCTTCTCGGGACCAAATCCCGACGCAGTAGCTTCAGAGCCACAGCCGGACCTGCCGGGGAGATGGGTTGGGGGGACACTCAGGCGGCTTCGGTCCTGCTGTGCACAGGCCCTGAGGGAAGCCGTGTAACCTCTCTGAGCCTCACACTTCTCATGGGCAGCACGGGCTCCTCCCTCTGTGAGGTGTGGGTGGGAGGAGACCTTCTTTGAAGACCCTCCCTGCTCTGCCTCGGACTGCGGCATGGGCTTCCGCAGCCGCCTCACCCTCTCCGGGCCTCAGTTTCCCCTGGCATCAAGTAAGAGGCATGATGGTGACTTGGGTTCCAACCTGAGTTGCATACCTGTCTTGCTGTGGGACCATAGGCAGCCCCTCGCCCTCTCTGGGGTGGGGCCTGTGTTTCTCAGAAGATCCCAGAGTTCTTAACTTTCAGAGCGTCCCCACCGAGAAGGGTCCCCATCAGCTTCTCCTGGGAATTCTCCCTGGTTGGGTGGCTTCCCAGAACGCTTATTATGTGGCGGTTGGGGAGGCTGCTCTTGGGTGGCCGAACTCACCCCCCTGGTGAGGCTGGGCGAGGAGCACGCGGCCGTAGGAGCCGGAGCCCAGCTTCCGGATGAGGTGGTACTGGTCCCGAAGGCTCCTCACGGGGGTCACCCTGCTGGCCGTCAGCTCCACCAGCCGTTGGAGGGCTGTGGCTGTGTCCTCCTATGGGAGAGGGGCAGGGTGAGGAGGGGGCGAATCTGGGGTCCGCTGAGAATGGCGAGGGAGGAGGTCACGGCGCAGTCCGGGGATGGAGGGTGGGGGCAGGGGACAGGGGTCACTGTCCCCAGAGAGGAGGATGAGTCACAGTGACTCACCCGGACTCGGGCCACCTGTTTTTGTGTTCTGGCGAGGTTAGGGGTCCTTGTCACAGAGGCCCCGCCTGCCCCCATCTGTGGGAGTGGACCAGGAGCCCCCAGCCCTAAGCGGGGGTGCATCCTCAGTCCACACGGGCCCCCCGCCCACCCCAGTCTCTCTCTCCACCGTCCTCTTCCCCTGTGCATCCCGCTCTGTGTTTCTGAGTCCATTTCTCTGGAGGCCTCTGTCTCACTGTGTGTCCTTGGATCTCAGTCATCCTCTCTCCCTGGGTCTGGGTCTCTGAGATCTTTGCATTTCCCTGTTTTCTGTTTCTCTTCCTCTGTCTCCCCGTGTTGCCTCTTGCCTCTCCTTCTTTTCTCTCTGTCTTCCTCCCCTGTCTCCCGTCTCTCACCTCTGGGTCCCCATCCTCAGGGGTCTCGGAGGCCCTGCGCTCCATCTCAGGGCTTCCTGACGTGGGGTGGCCCTTGGGCAGGACTCCCCCTGTCAGGGCTCCCCAGAGAGCGACCAGCCCCCTGCACCCCACAGGTTCTCGCTGCGCAGAGCCAAGGGCTGGAAGCTTGTCTGCAAGGTCAGCCTCAGTCACCCTTTGTCTGTCCGAGTCTGTCTATCTGGAGGAGTGTGTCTGCCTCTCTGTGCCCTCCTGCCACCCTCTGGGTGTATTCCTCGCTGTGCTTCCCAGGGGACCGCCCTGACTCCCCCACCCTCTCTTCCCCTCTCTTTAGCCAACCCCAGTCTCTCCTTCCTCCTACATGAACACTTTTCTCTCAGTCTCTCTCTTGCTCCCTCCGTCTCTCCTCTCTCTGTGTGTGTCTTTGTCTCCTTCTCTCCCCGTCTCTCTCCACCCTCCCTGTCTCTGTCTTGCCCTTGGGTCTCTGGGGTGGGACTCCCCCTCCCTGTCCCGTCTCTGTGGGTCGCCGGCCCCCTCCTCTGTCCGCACACTGTCCCCACTCTTTCTCCACCAACTCTGGGGGTGTCCCCACGCTCTGCTCCCTGCCTGCTCCCCTCTCTCTGTCTGTCTGTTTCCCGTCCAGCCCCTCTGGGCATCTCCGTCCGCTCTTGCCAGTGTCTCTGCGTCTCTCTCCTCCTCTTTGTTCGTGACTCTCTCTCATAGCCTTTGTCCCTCCCTTTCTCTGGGCCCGGGACAGGGGTGTGTGTGACAGCTCAGAGACAGAGACATCCTGTCCCCCCACACCCCTCCCTCACCCCCTCTGACGGCTGCCCCCTCCCTCTCCCTTCCAAACTTAGACCGGCTTGGAGTCTGGGCTCCGGTCCCAGGACAGAGGGGACAAAACATATTGTGAACCCCCAACAAGGCCCAGGCCTGAGGGCAGAGGAAAGGGTGGGACAGACCCCTCCACACACCTGAACTGGGATGACAGGCCCAGAGCTGAGCGTCTCTGTCTTGCCCCAGAGGCCAGGAGCTCTGGTGTCCAGGGACCAGGGAACAATTCCCAAAGCCCTCCTCCTTCACACCAGGAGTCCTGGCCCCAGCTCCTCCTCCCTCAGATCCAACAGTCCAGGCTCCTAGGCACTCCTCCCTCAGACCCAGGAGTCCAGACTCCCAGCCCCTCCTCCCTCAGACCCAGGAGTCCAGACCCCCAGCCCCTCCTCCCTCAGACCCAGGAGTCCAGACCCCCAGCCCCTCCTCCCTCAGACCCAGGAGTCCAGAGTCCCAGCCCCTCCTTCCTCAGACCCAGGTCCCTCCTCTCTCAGACCCAGGAGTCCAGAGTCCCAGCCCCTCCTCCATCAGACCCAGGCCCCCAGCCCCTCCTCCCTCAGACCCAGGAGTCCAGGCCCCCAGCCCCTCCTCCCTCAGACCCAGGAGTCCAGGCCCCCAGCCCCTCCTCCCTCAGACCCAGGAGTCCAGACCCCCAGCCCCTCCTCCCTCAGACCCAGGGGTCCGGAGTCCCAGCCCCTCCTCCCTCAGACCCAGGCCCCCAGTCCCTCCTCCCTCAGACCCAGGAGTCCAGGCCCCCAGCCCCTCCTCCCTCAGACCCAGGAGTCCAGAGTCCCAGCCCCTCCTCCATCAGACCCAGGCCCCCAGCCCCTCCTCCCTCAGACCCAGGAGTCCGGAGTCCCAGCCCCTCCTCCCTCAGACCCAGGAGTCCAGACCCCCAGCCCCTCCTCCCTCAGACCCAGGAGTCCAGACCCCCAGCCCCTCCTCCCTCAGACCCAGGAGTCCAGACCCCCAGCCCCTCCTCCCTCAGACCCAGGAGTCCAGATCCCCAGCCCCTCCTCCCTCAGACCCAGGAGTCCAGAGTCCCAGCCCCTCCTTCCTCAGACCCAGGTCCCCAGTCCCTCCTCTCTCAGACCCAGGAGTCCAGAGTCCCAGCCCCTCCTCCATCAGACCCAGGCCCCCAGCCCTTCCTCCCTCAGACTCAGGAGTCCAGGCCCTGCCCCTCCTCCCGCAGGACTCGGGAGCTGAAGTAGCTGTGGGAAGCGCCAGGGACAGAGGTGCTCTCATGTTCTCAGCACCTGTTCCGCGCCTAGCCCTGCACAGGGCTTTACACTGGATCCTCCCAGCTGCCCAAAGGGTCAGTATTTATCCCCAGTTTACGGAGCAGGAAACTGAGGTTCCGAGAAGCGATCGTGTTACACAAGGTCAGAAGGGGAGCGGGCCCCGGGCCAGGTCTGTGTGACTCAGAGGCCTGCTGCCTGCCCCACTCGTGTTCCCACTACTACTACAGCCCTGCTATTAATAAAGAAACAGCAACGGCAGCGACGCGTAGGCTCTGGAAGGATCTGCAGGAAACCGGCTGTGGCGCTGGCCGCTGGGGAGCTGGATGGGGCCCAAGGAGGGTCAGAGGTAGAGCTTCCTTTGCTGTTTGACTCTTCTGAGGTTAGACTGGAGAAAGTCACAAACCTACAGAAAAGTAGAAAAAGCGCCGTCCATGCCCGTAATCCCAGCTACTGGGGAGGCAGAGGCAGGAGAATCTCTTGAACCCTGGGAGGCGGAGGTTGTGGTGAGCCGAGATGACGACACCGCACTCCAGCCTGGGCAGCGGAGCGGGACTCCGTCTCAAAAACAAACAAAAATAATCACAACAAAACAAAAGCAAAAAAGCGCTGTCATGAACACCCATTGGCTACACTTCACAGACATGACCATTTGGCTATATTTGCTTGATCTTTATTTCTTTGTTGGGGGGGCATACAAACTAGTTTCAAGTAAATGATAGATATTGAAGTCTTTTGGAAGTGGAAATGCTGAGCAGTTTGGTGTGTCTACTTTAAAATCGTCTGGCCAGCTGGGCGCGGTGGCTCATGCCTGTAATCCCAGCACTTTGGGAGGCCGAGGTGGGCGGATCACCTGAGGTTGGGAGTTTGAGACCAGCCTGACCAACATGGAGAAACCCCGTCTCTACTAAAAATACAAAATTAGCCGGGTGTGGTGACTCGTGTGCCTGTAATCCCAGCTACTCGGGAGGCTGAGGCAGGAGAATCACTTGAACTCGGGAGGTGGAGGTTGCAGTGAGCCGAGATCACACCATTGCACTCCAGCCTGGGCAACGAGCGAAACTCTGTCTCAGAAACAAACAAAAAAACTTCTGGCAAAAGAAAAGAAAATGTGTGTGTGTGTCTGTGTGTCTGTGTGTGTGTATGTATGGGGGGCTGGGTGTGTGTGTGTTTGTATGGGGCTGGGTGTGTGTGTGTGTGTCTGTGTGTGTGTGTGTGTGTATGGGGGGCTGGGTGGGTGGTGAAACAGGTGAGAGGAAAGGGACTCATTTTATTCCTCTGTTTTTGGTTATGCTGGAAAATTTTCCTTCATGAAAAGCTACAAGTTATAAACTAAACTACAGGCATCATGATAAATTGGGCCCAAACACTAGGGTGTACCTATCTGTAAAAGTAAGGAACATTTCTAGCTCAACTACAGTAAAATTGTCATACTTAATGATTTTTTAACAAAATTGAAGATGAGGCCAGGCATGATGGCTCACGCCTGTAATCCCAGCACTTTGGGAGGCTGAAGCGGGAGAATTGCCTGAGGTCCGGAGTTCAAGATCGGCCTGGCCAACATGGTGAAACCGCAACTCAAAAATTAGCCAGGTGTGGTGGTGGGCGTCCTCGCTACTCAATCCTATCTACTCAAGAGGCTGTAATCCCAGCTACTCAAGAGGCTGTAATCCCAGCTACTCAAGAGGCTGAGGCAGGAGAATTGCTTGAACCCGGGAGGCAGAGGTTGCAGTGAGCCAAGATGGCACCACTGCACCCCAGCCTGGGCAACAGAGCGAGGGTCTGTCTCAAAACAATAAAATTAAATAAAAAATGAAAAATTTAAGAGGGAGTCTTGCTGTGTAGCCCAGGCTGGTCTCAAGCTCCCAGGCTCAAGTGATCCTCCTACCTCGGTCTACCAAAGTGCTGAGAATACAGGTGTGAGCCACGGTACCCAGCCCTACAATTTCTCGAAATCAGATAATAACAAGTCTGTCTTCAATTTCTCACATTTATTTATTTTTAAATGCCTTGGCTGGGCGTGGTGGCTCACGCCTGTAATCCCAGCACCTTGGGAGGCCGAGGCAGTTGGATCACCTGAGGTCAGGAGTTCGAGACCAGCCTGGCCAGTGTGGTGAAACCTCATCTCTACAAATACACAAAAATTAGCCGGGTGTGGTGGTGTGCACTTGTAATCCCAGCTACTCCGGAGGCTGAGGCAGGAGAATTGCTTGAACGTGGGAGGTGGAGGTTGCAGTGAGCTGAGATGGACCACTGCACTCCAGCTTGGGCGACAGAGTAAGACTGTCTAAAAGAAAAGAAAGAAAAGAAAAGAAAAGAAAACAAAAATGCCTTATTTGCTTTATGAGTCAGGAATCAACGTCAACGTCCTGTATGACTTTCAGGGAACTTTTTACCACTGTGCCTTTTACATTATTTGAATTTTTCCTGTGAGTATGTGTTACTTATTCAAAAATTTGTGATAAAATAATACAGTGATGATGATACAGTAATATAGTAACACTTGGTGCTTACTTGGTGCCAGGCCCTGGTCACGCTCTCTCGGTCTCTCCCTCTTTTTCACCTAAGACTTTGTGGAGTCCCGCCAACAAGCCCTGGGTCGGTAGAACGATGGTTTCCAATTTCCTGATGGGGACAGGGAGGCATGAAGCGGCAGCCATGGGCCGCAGAGCCACAGCCAGCGAGAGGCAGAGCTGGGATGCCTTGAGGTCTGGTGACTCCTGGCTCCTCTGTGCCCCCTGCCCATGCAGGTCCTGTGAGGCCGATCTCAGGTGCCCAGCTCCAGCTGAGCTCCTCCACTGGAGACCAGGGGCTGGCTGTGCACCGACGGGACAAGCGCATCTGCTACTCTAGAGCCGAAAGGTCTGACTGCAGAGCCGGCCACCTGGGTCCCCCCGGGGAGGAGAGTGAGAGGGAACGCTGCGGGCCTCTACCCCTCCCAGCCCTCCCCCAGAGGCTCGCTGGTGATCTGGGGAGCTTTGCACCTCCCCATTTAGTAACGCCGCTCTGCGCTCTGCGGGGTCACCCGGAGTGACCTCGGCACGCAGGTGTGGTGGGGGAGGTTGCAGTCCTGGCCTCAGGGTACACACACACCCCTCATTAAAGCTCGGCAGTGTGCCTCTCTCCTCCCCTCCCTCCCGCTCACCAACCTCCCAGGGCTCCTTCTGTGACCGTTTCCTGGCTTTGTTCCCTCCTGGCCAAACGAGGGCACGCCAACAAGTCAAGTGTGTGAACAACAACAACGATAATAATTTTGTTCAACAGTCGTACCGTACTCGGTGCTGTGGCTTGTGTTTTCATCTATTGTTGTCATTGTTGTGATGAGTTTTTGTAGAGACGGGGTCTCACTATGCGGCCTCTACCCTCTCACTATGTTGGAATTTGAGGCTGGTCTTGAATCCCCGGGATACCTCTGTGCTTCCGTTTTCTCCTGTATGAAATGAAGGTCAGCCCCAGCTCCTACCCACAGCACTGTTGTTAAAAAAAATTAATATGTATAATGCATAAACTAATGTACATTATAATATATCTAAGATAATTATTTTAGATATGATATATACTATCCTATATTACATATTAAGTGATATATGTAGTATATATCTTATGTATAATATATATACTTATATGTTATTTTTAAAGTAAGTTCAATTAATAAAATATATACTGAAAGAACACATAAAAATTAGTTTACACTTCAAAGATTGTTCAGTTGACAATA